ACGGCGGATTGCATTGGCCAGGGCCCGCTGGATGTCAATCTTGGGAGCCTCACTCTGCATCGTTCTTAACTAATCCACGCAGACTTCATGCATTCGGCGTCCTACCCCATTCATTTGAAGCACACGCATCCGCTGGCGCCCACGTCACCCCACTCATTCTTGGCTCACGCACAGGTATGACCCCTCCCCCTTTCCCTCCCGAATCATTGTGAAAAATAAATAAATTTAAAAGCAGACAAGCCGACGAGCTGACAAGTACACTAACGTTTGAGCCATTGGAAAACTCATCAGCATGCGGATGCGGCCTTACGCTGAGCCCGACCGCGAAGCGGGAAAGTTTAGGGCCGAATAAAACAAGCTGGATCCTCATGGCTAACTCTAACAATTACACTAAGATAGCCTCGGCGAAGGCTAATGGACGAGCCGCCGCGATGAGGCGCGAGTCACCGGCCCCGCTCGCCATTTCCACCCACGCTGGGCGCGAGTGCCCCGTCGCCGTCCGATCAAATCACCTCTGGTCTCGCTTCAGCGCCAAACAATCAAAACGCAGGCCATCACCTGTCATGCAGTCATTCACACATGATCACGTAATGGATTACTATCAAATTTGCGCTCTCCGTCCTCACAAGTCCACAGCCACGCGCTGGTCCAGCGCCGAAACCGCGTGACATATGCCCCCTCCCATCATTAATCATGATTTCATACCTGTCGCCGCGAGACGTAGTACCGGGCCGGGAGGTTGCATGCCCCTGCCCTTTCCCCTTCCCCTCCCCCATTCCCCAGTTACAAGGAAGCGGAAGAGATTGTCGTGGCACGCGGGCCGCCCTGCGGGAGGGGGGGGGGGGGCCGTCTAGGGACAGCCTCGGATCGTACCGCCGTCCATGGTTCGGTCGGGATAGGGAACAACAGTCGGCGGACGCGCACAGTACGCTATCAGTTGTGATATGTTCCAGCTCACTTTTGTGATGCTAAACATATCGGTAGTGATATGCCTTTCTGTGGCCTTGTTAGTAGTGAGCAGCATCATCCTCCCCCCCCCCCCCCCCCGAGTGAAGAGCAGTGGCAGGATATCGCCCCGCAGTGTCTCCAATCGGCTCGGACACATGTTTTTGGCCCAATTTTAGTCCCAATGTCATGACGTAAAAGTTACTGGAACTCAATGCCTCACTTAGATGAGGAAGGATGTGCATACTTTAACCTTGTTTCTCTATTGGCTTCGACTTATTTTGTCCCAGTATCTTCCCTGCTCTTATGTTTGCCCTCCCTATCATTATTGGTGCATTAACGGGGTTCTAGACTTGTCTAATCTTTACGCATTTTGTGCTGTCTGGACCATGGAGCTTCACAACCTGGTCTGCGTGCGCATATTTCATAAACTTTCACGAATCAAGAATATAATACACATATTATACAGGAACTCTCTTCCGGTATTATTTTGCCAGCATTCCTATCAAAATCTCTATATTTCTATAACCTACAACTTGTTATTTCAAATAGCTGTTGAAGGATCTTCTGAGATCTTAAAACATTCTAATGCCCTAAAACTTGTGTTTTTGTTGACCTGATTGAAATATGTTTTGAGCTTTGACATGTTACAAATGCCGAGGGTCTTTTTCCAGAACTTGGATCTTTTTGAGAGCTTATCTTAGGGATATTCTAGGATATATGATCTTTTTGAAGCGTTGTCAAGGAACCCTCTGAGGTCTGAAATATTGTTTTTGCTTTTATCTCGAATGATCTCGAGTTAATTGATATGATTGATATGAAGCGACTAGATGGATTAAAATGTTTTCGAAACATCTTCTGAGATCTGGGATTTTTCTAGGATCTAGAATGTTTCGCCAGGCTATTGATCGGCCCCACATATGTTTCTAGCGAGACACACTGCTTGAAAATAGGAATTGAGCTTGGCGCAGGTGCTTAACTATGAACTAGTCATTATCGCCAAAAGCCGACTGCAACACTTTGTAACGCATTGGCTGTGATTTCTGCTTTTAAAGATTTGATCCGAATCCTTTGAATGCATGAATTTCTGGCATCAGACATCACACCAAGCAGTGCAGGTTGTGTGAGCCCTAATCCCTAAGATCTGATTCCGCAATTCCAGGCAACGGCAGAATTTAGTGTCAAAGGTTTGAAGTGCCGCAATGCTCGGCACGGTCCGTCTTGCCCTCTGACGTCAACTGACCTTCAGCGCAGCCGCTGCCACCGGCCGCAGGCATACTTGTCAAGGGCAAATAGCGAGCGCCTAAAGCGACTTGATCCCATACAACCACGGGTGGGTGCGTCGGAAGGCAGGCGCTCTAACCAACTGAGCCACCGGGACATACCTATACTTCTTAAGAACAAACAAGCTCAGTTCAGAAATACATCCAAGCCAAAGATTCAGACCAAATGTAAAAACACTCATACAACCACCATCATGCTGCATTACAATTCCGCACATCCCACGGCTACTGAGAAAGCAGCCCTTATACCACAAACGTGGAGAGCGGTGTATGTGTCACTTGGTCTCCAGCCAGTTGAACGTAGATGTGCTGAAGCATCTCTTCTTTTCCTTGACAACAGATGCATAGAACATTGAGCGAGTTCTCCCGATTGTGCCACAAGTTTTGGTTCAACAATACATAAGGTTTGCAAAGAAGTGGTACAAAGGTCAAATAAACGCAGAGCTGCCGGGTATACATGGTGGGCCCGAAAATGTTCATCCACGTTTTATTCAACAATGACAAGTGCATTCACGCACACTTAAAACTGTTATGGCATTTGAAGCGACCATTCAACGGTAAACTATGGTCAACAACAATGTCAGCCATCAGTGATCGCGCAGTCGCCACACCGCGACTGCAGCCGACGTCTCTTTGAGGGCGAGAACGACTACGCTGTCCACGCCACCTCAGAGCACTCCATGGCTACCTCTCCTACCCTTCTGGACGGCCCTGTGGCGACTGTACGACATGGATCGGGAAGAAGAGCTACCCCTGCCGGACGGGGAGACACCGCACACCGCGAAACATCCGCTGCCGACCGTTGAGCCAGCATGAGATCACGTTCATTACGCCTCCCTGTAACTTTAAAACTGCCGCATATCGCAGTGAATTGCTCTTTTTCACAATTCAGGTCCTATCATGGGAAAGCCTTATCTCGAACATTCGTAGGCTGGCCTTGTATCTGCAGGAATTGACATGAAAAACACAGGGACCCAGAGAATGGTGCTTGAAACAAAACAAAATGATGCTGTGGGTGTCGGACCCAGGTACCTAGGGTACCAATAGTAGGATATCTTTACCTTTCTTTGACTCTGCGTTCCCTGTTTGTTCATATATATCGAGGGGACTCAAAGGAGCACTCAGAGGCCTGAAATCAGAGTTAAAGGGGGCGACTCAGGCCCTCGAAAGATAGATAAGGTGAAGTCTCTGCCCTTATAGGATTTAACCCCATTCCCTGAAGCTGCTGCAGGGGGCTTGTAAATACAGATAGCGCCTTTTCGAAGTTGGCTTTTTATCATTTAGATCCCTGAGGCCTGGCAAATTCTGAAACCCGGTCACGTCTCAATCCTTATGTCGCTTAAATTTTCTGGTTCGGTTTAATCCACGCGGCAGATCGTTCCACTCTAACGTTCAACGCGCCATCTCCTGAGCTTTCCAACTCGTGAAAGTGCTCAGCTGCATAACACAAAAAACCTTCTCCTCTGAAGCGGAGAGCGATCTGAGAAGAAATCCATCACTGATGCCGAGTGTCATTTGAATAATTATGCATCTTAACTGCTAAACTATGTCCCTAAAATTACCATCGCACAGTAAGCTGGCGCTAAAATTGTTCCGTTTCTGTTAGCTACTTGTTTCGTTTTCCACTTTCTTTCGTTTTTTTTCTGTTGCCTGCAGAGCTCACTGCTACATTATGCCGGTGGAAGGGTTCCATTTGCATTTGCACAAATAAGTCGCGTGACTAGACACCTATTGTCAGCGGGCCAGCATTATCGAGGCAGGGCAAGGCCGGATATATCGGTCGCATAGGACGAACCGCGGCGATGTCTTTAGTGTCGCGGCCACTGGAAGCACCACCAGAGAGGCGTTTCCGGCGCCACGGCCACCGAATATGGCGCGCCACCTGACTCCCGTGTTATCAGTCCCCGATCATGAGCGAAGCCTGTTATCGGCGTTATGAGCAGAGCACTTCACGGGGCCTCGTCTCTCCGAGAGCCCGTCGAGAACCACTTCAAGCCCGCATATCTGCAGCGCGAAGTACGTCATCCAGGCTTCCTTGAGGCAAATGGCGTCAGTCCATTTGCTGTCAGAGGGTCACTCCACACAGTGAAACATGCGGACCCGCTATCTGAGGGCAACGCCAATATATTGCAGTCCAATAAAGATAAGTCGCCTCTCGGTTGCAGCTCGGTCAGCACACCCAAAACTGTAGCCTTGAAAAGAAAACGAGGGGTAGTTACTCTTTGAAAAAGCTGTCTTCCAGCCCCCTACAGAACCTCTTCGCGTCACCAGAACCGATGTCGTTGAGTGGCTCTTCAACAGCCGAACGAAAGCCGCCACTGGCTGGCCTTCCCAGCCGCCCGGCAGGCAAGCCAGTAGTCGGGTGTTATTACGGCCGCCCAGCAGCCAAGTCACCAGACGGATGTTATTCTGGCCACCCAGCAGCCAAGCCGCCAGACAGGTGGTATTAGGGCCGCCCGGCGGGCAAGCTAGCCGATAGGCGTTATTCCGGCCGCCCGACAGCCAAGCCGCCAGACGGATGCTATTCCGGCCGCCCAGCAGCCAGGCCAGCAGTCGTGTGTTATTTCGGCCGCCCGGCAGCCAAGCCGGCAGTCCGGTGTTATCCCGGCCGCCCAGTATCCAAACCGGCAGTCCGGCGCTATCCCGGCCGCCCGGCAGCCAAGCCGGCAGTCCGGTGTTATCCGGCCGCCTAGTATCCAAGCCAGCAGTCCGGTGCTATCCCGGACGCCCAGTATCCAAGCCGGCAGCTGCGCTCTCGCCGGTCGGTCTTACCTGCGTAGTCGAGTCCGATTTCGGACCGCAGGTTGTTGCGGAGCGATATGTGACGGTTCTTCTCCAGGTTGAAGTAACCGTAGGTGACGTTTTTCGCCTTGAAGAAGTTTACCAGGCTGGACATCGCCAAGAAGCAGGACTGATCTCCGGAGACGGTGTCGTAGGCGTCCGTCTCGTACATCAGCATCACTTTTCTCCAGCCGAACCTACCGGCCAGCAGCACACAGGCGCTGGGTCTTCAGAGCACCACCGACAAATGCGTGTTTGTTCAAAAGACAGCAAGATTCCTGTCTACGAAGTTACAAGACCGCTGTTATTGTGATGCTGGAGGCCATGTGACATATAGATATCACGATATGAATGTGCACGATTATCGATAATCCGGGCTATTTTCCGACAGATAACGTGTGCATCACGTGAACAATGACGTTCCTTATCATATGGTGTGCATGAAATTGCCTGACCCGATGCCTTGGAATAGCAAAACAGCCGGACGAATGGCGCCGATATGCGCATTAATTTGAGCCCCTCGGATCTAGTGACCACAAAGGCGACGTTGTGACACGCGTCCCGTCAGACACATGTTGCAATGTCTCAAAAGTCTAGGTTAAGGCTGCTTAACCCATGACAAGCCAAGCTGTAGGAATTCGGTTTCCATTCCCAAAACTAAGCATTGAAGATTGCTTATGAGGTACAAAACATACTGCGACCGACCATGATCTGATCAAGGCATTCATTTTGGAAAGCATATTTGGTTTGCCTCCCCGATGTGTGGCGGAAATTGCTCGAGTTTGTTTATTCCTCACATTTGAAGATATCGAAGCAAGCATCAGATGTGGTGAAACATGCTCACTTATAACGATTGGCATAATTTTTAAGTGAGAAACTGCTCTAGATAGCACAGTTATCTGTTCAGTAAATATGCTCCTCAATGCGTTGTGTTGTGATGACGTCATCTTGCCCTGCACAGCATTGATGGAGAGCCTATTGACGACCGTTATACCTGGAAATCACGCTCACGAACGCCAGATATGAACGCATTGACGAATGTATTTTTGGGGCTTTGATCGCCGCATGTCTTTGGAAAAGCAGACTTGACAGACTCTCTCCGGTAAATATTTCCCCATTTTTGCGCGCGTACAGCTCAGAAACTATAGGGGCTTAGGACTTAAGAAGGGCAGGATTGCGAACAGCATTGAAAGGTCATCAAGATGGCCGTCTCAATTTAAAACCTCATATAAATGTGGAGCACTCCCTTCAGTCAGATTTCCTCTGTAGCGTGGTGAAATCTCGGCGCATAAACGGGTGTCGCTTTGCATTCGTTTGGGCATCTGCCCCGAGCATCTGTCCAATTTGGCCCTCAACGGTGAGTTTTGCCCCCACAACCTTGTGGTGCCTAAGTATGTAGATGCAGAACTTTAAAAATAAGAGCTAACAATCATATATTTTCGAAAGGTTTCTAATTATTGTTTCGGAGATAAAAGGGTGCTGCTGACAATGCTAGGAAACTTCTATAGCTTCGCGTTCGTACCTTGTTTATTGGAACGTTATCTGTTTTTGCCGCAATGACATGCTTTTAATGTACGATTTACATGTATTGATAATTATGGTCTAGGTTCGTGTTATTGTCCGAGTGTTTTGACATTATTCAGCAATGTTTCAAGCTCTATATCCTTCAACAAACTGCATTTGCCACGATATGCTGTCACAGCGCGTTATTGGAGGGTTAAAACAAAACGGTCCCGTAAGAACATCCAAAAATGTGACTAATTTACTAATCGCAACGTTCGGAAGAACTCTTGAAATGTGCAAACTCCTTTTTGACGTGAAAATTCAGTGAAATAGTTACGAAAACCTGACGATCCACACCACGCAACTAAATCAATAGCGAAAATCGTCCGACAGTGACCAGCAAAGCACGAACGCTTGGCGCTTCGAACATACCTATCGCAAACGCTGGGCTGCAACTGAAGTTTCTCGTGCCACTTCCTACCGGGCGCTTCCGTGGCAGCCTTAAATTGTCGCGCACATCAACTTAATTTCTTTCCTAGAGCCATGCGCAACCAACAGCGTCTAAAGCTGCATGACGTCGACCCCACGTCGAATACCGAAACCTGGTTTCGACCATCGAAGCCAAACAAAATGCTAGTGATGGCCGACGACAACATCTTCCGCCGAGAAAGAACAAGAAAACAACAGGAGCGTATTTTGGAGCAGGAACATATTTTCCGATTCAGCTGGGGAGCCTGTAGCTCTCTAATGCTTTGAGAGGAAAGCAATTCGAATCCGGTACAATCCATATTTGTTATTGTTAACCCCTATTAATCCTAAGGTCGTGCATGTGGAACACTGGCCGCACTGTCTCCAAAACGTAATAATTTATGTCCTAAAATGTTCAAAGGTAGCATCTCAGACGCGTCATCGCCTTTGTCCTCCCGTTGACCGCCGCCTTATGCTAACCGGAGGCCGACGCCGTGCTGCCCCCGTACACCACAACACCGGGCGTAGGGCTTCTTCGTTTCTAAGACTTGCGAACGCGCATGTTCATAACTCTCGTCGAATTTTTTCATGTACGATTATAAGTGGCAGTTGAACATTTCTACACGAATGTGGTTCCGCCATGGCAATACACAATTTTGATGCCATTTTGAGCTACAGTCACGGTCACGAAATCTTTCTTAGCTATCTCTGTAGAAACCACAACAAATCCGGCAAAGCCTCTTAGTACTTTGGGTTTAGAGGGTCCACTGAACCATGGCAAAATTACTAGCACCAGCTGTTTAGTTTATGACGTCATTCTACGCCTGACAATGAACGTGGTGTTATCTTTCTTTTTTAAACATCCCAAATTGGACATCGCATCATAGAACTGTACAGAAGTTCACAGAGATTTCAGGTATGCTATTGCATCATCGTCATCTAATTCCAAAGAGCCTCAACCGTCAACCGTCAACCACTGCGATCACCAGTGCTGCCGAAGGTGTTCTAAGGCATCACTGTTGTAACCGTAGCCTGCGCTGCATGGGTGCTATGTTTGAATGCATTTTTCGGCCAGTGAAAGTGAACCTTCCAACGTGCTACGGTATTGCCAGTGCCGTTGCGACTTCGGAAGAAGCAAAGCTGGCTGAGCGTGGGTGATATAGTTGAGCACGAACATGCTTACAGAAGTGCAATTGCATGTTCACCAACGAACCATCTTAAATAGTAAAGCTGTTGCCATTACCCTGCATCGTACATGACATTGGCATGACGGGAGCTTAGTTTGCCACACGTCTGAACTGAATGCTGAGAGGATCGCTTTCCGTGCGGAGGCACAGCAGCTTGGAGCAGTGTGCCCCAGTAGTACAGCAGGCTCAAATGCATGCTCTTTGAAACGAATGGGGGAAACGCGTTCCCAAATGCAGTGCATTTGCCTGAGCGCGTTTTGGAAGAGGTTGGGTCCCATGGCCTTAAACGGTGCGTAGACGAGCATTTCTATTTTGTTTTACATTAACACGCGCTTGGGTGGCCAGTTCAATGCCACACGCTCCGGTGGAGGCAATTTGACCCCCCTGCTATCTCAGCGTCAATAATTACGTTAGGTAAAGTGCTCCTAAATAAACAAAAGGTTGATCAGGGCCATTTTACGTCAGCGACCTTTTCAGATTTAAGAAGCACATCAAAGATAAGACGGTAGTATTACCCTTATTCCTCGGGGAAAAACCAGGAGAATGGTAGTATAGTTTCGGGATATTTCGGCAACATGCCCTTATCGAAACAATAGCAGAAGTGAATTCAAAATTACCTGCCGATGATCCTACTCGATTTTCAGTTTGTTTTTGTGTTGAAATAGCAAGTCACAGTTTTCACAGGACACCAACATTCAGGGGATTAAACAAAGAGCGATTGCCAACCATTACCACAATACAGTGCCTATCTAAGAATTAGAATGCGCGAACATACGTGTGTAGGCGAACGAATGCAAGCAAATAGGCATCAAGCATCACGCTTTATTCAAGTCATCCATTGAATGCTTATATATATATATATATATATATATATATATATATATATATATATATATATATTATTGGTTGGTCAAAAATCTCCTGAATGTTGATGACCTGTAAAACCCGTGGCTTCCTGTTTCAAAGAAACCTGAAAAATCGGGAAGGATCATCAGCAGGCAATTTTGAATTTACTTCTGTCACTCGGTCGGTAAACGCATAGTGCCTAAATATCAGCGCATCTGTATCTCCATTCCGTTTGTTTTCCTGCGAGGAATAAAGCTATTGCCGCTGTCTTATCTTCGCATCCATATCTCCATTCTCCTGAGTTTCCTACGACGAATAAAACTATTATTACAGCCTTATCTATGCGCACTGAGTCCATGGTGGACAAGCTCCGGCCGGGCCGCACGGTTTTGAGTCGCGCCGGGTCGCGCAAGCGCCGAGCGGCACGACGCACGTGTGATTTCCAAGCCTCAGACCTACACATGTGCAGAACCGCCCGCACCACCTGACAAGCGCACATCGAGACCTTCCGGCCTTGATCTTGGCCATCTCGAGAATTGCCGGCCATCTCATGTACCTTGTATGTGCACCTTCGATGTTCTCGGCTCGCCCTGCTGACCGAAGAGAGTCCAGCAATCGACGTGTAGGTCACCGGTCCCTCTTTCAATGCTTTTCTACTGATCAAAGAGAGCCCAGCGATCGACGCATAGATCACCTGTCCCTCTTTAGCTCTTTTTCTGCTGATCAAAGAAAGCCCAGCGATCGACCCATAGCCCACCGATCCCTCTGTCCCTGCTGTTCAAGAGAGCTCAACGATCGACACACAGGTCGCTGGTCTCTCTTCCACTGCTTCTCTGCATCTTGCACGACAATCGTGCCACAGTCATCCGTGCCGTAGGCTGAAGATATGTGAAAAATAATCACGAAATCTGGCTGCATTATTTTCATGTGTAATGCCCCTACCTGTCAAAATGTTCTTCACGTAGTCTGAGTATTTGCCGCAGGGTGCATTTCGTAAATATTCAAACCTTACATATCTTGAAATTCCGAACATGTTGTCACATTTTCTCGCATCCGTGACCTCATCGCTTTTATTGCTTCGTGTAATAGAACCCGGTTTCCTAAAACACGTCAAATTATCCGATGGTTTCCTAGATCCGCGCCGTTTTCAGCTAGCGGAGCTCAGCAGAAGATTGGACGATCTAGTCATTGGCAGTCGTGGAGGACGCCTCTTGACTGCAGGTCACACCATCACACCACATTCAGTGCAACATTCTACTGGTCCCAGGTAAGGGCTAAAACAAAAATAGGAGCAAAAAGCAAAAAGCGGCACTCTCCAAGCCACTAGGGTAACGTAGTCGCTATGACATTCTCGTTTTCCTCCGACGTGTGTTCCATGATGCTTTCAGCATGTGTTCCAGTGGCTGCAAAAACACAACCTGCTATAGCTCCTGTTCATGGCTGACCCATTCCGTTGGCTTCACTGAGCGAAGTCTTTCATTTTCTCAGACAAAACGCCGTTTCTCACTTCGTCTGCAAACAGATAGGAGAGGTCCATATGGAAGCGTTAAAAAAAAACCATTTTCGGAAAATTGTTTGCTAACAATGCAGCGTTTGTTGATTCGCAGACCGTCGATACGAACCCATGGGCCGGCCATCTATCGGAACAGCAGATTAAAACCCAGAACACCCGTCAAAAAATGCCAACACTCAGGCGTGACATGAGCAGGCATGAACCGTTTAACGTTCTTACTATCCCGAACGGCCAGGAGAAACTTCCGGCACACCGGGAGGGGTAGGGGAGGGGAGGGCACATTCCTGCGCTGGGTGGGCGGGGCAGACTCCATAGTTTTGGCGCCAGGCCCGCCTTGGCTCTACCTGGTGATTCGGGACGCTTCAGTCTCGCTGTGCCGAAGTGAGGCACGTCTGTCGGGTCTGTTTCCAAGTCATCGATTCAGGAACTCGCCGTTGATAAACGTCGCCCCCGACGGCCGGCAGTTCGCGGCACGGTAAACAGATGCCTTCTGTCGGCCGCAGTGCCTCAGTACAATGTCGCCGTGCAGACTTCCACCACCGCCAGCAAACCTTCGCGCCGGCGCTCATCAGCGCGTGGGAACGCCTCAGGTCGACGCTATTCGGATTCTATGGCGAGATACAGGCATTTTCTTTAAATTTTCTGCAAAATGATATACCCATCTTTGCCGACCCCGAAAATCGTACGTCACGCATGCTTTTTTGCTCGTATAAGAGTAAGTTCCTTCAGTCACATTATGAACGCCCTTTTGCCAAATCCCTCCGCAGCATCCTGGCGTCAGTGCTTCCGTGCCGGTCATTGCGGACCACTGACGAGCCGACTCGGTACTGCGGCCAGACGGCGCGAGCGGAACAGCCTCGGACTGCACGCGGTAGTTGTTTGCGGTAGTGCTAGTGGATTTCGTAGAGGTTCGACACTCTATGGACATCACTGGCAACCAGTCGCCACGTTTTGGGTAACATTTTTCCACGCAGTCACACCGGGGCCAGTGGCCTGCTTCTCCGTAGGCGGTGCTCTTGTCAGATTATAAAGAACGCCTGTTAGCCTTCACTTCACCCGTTCTCCCAGCGGGTCCCTCTGTAAGTCGAGAGAGAGAGAGAGAGAGAGAGAGAGAGAGAGAGAGAGAGAGAGAGAGAGAGAGAGAGAGAGAGAGAGAAGAGAGAGGGAGAGAGGGAGGGAGGGAAAGAGAGAGGGTTCTTCTTGCCCATAGGGGCTTTTTAAGGGGCCCTGTTACTACCTGTGGAGCTGCTCCTGCCGGCCGATGAATGCCTGTTTCAGGTTTGCAGAGGTTAATGCGTTCAGGGGCACGTACTAAACCTGTTCGGGTCCGACGGCTCATTTGGAGGAGCGCAGCTGCGGTGCAAAAGGGCCACTGCTTCCCTTAAAGATGCCCGCTGATGGGCACTCTTTGCAGGCCGGTAAGAGTGTCTTTTGCTGGCCGGCAGTGGCTCCTTTACACTCCACGGGTCCTTTCCACAAGCCAAGCATGAGACGTCTTTCCCGAACAGCATAACAAGCAATCACTAGGGAAATAGTAATGCTTTATGCGTATATATATATATATATATGCATATATATGTATATATATATATATAATGTGTATATATATGTATATATACATATATATATATATGTATATAGATATATATGTATATATACATATATATATATATATATATATATATATATATATATATGTTATGTATATGTATATCACAGCAAACGCAAGCAGGATTTCAAGAACAGCTCGGCATATGTTCCAGCGGCCATAAGTTAGGCCAGCATCCTGCAAGTGCTATAACCATTACAGGACAGCGATTCGTATTGCGCCAGCCATAGTGGTGGCACCGCCGGGCACCATACCGGACCCGTGCAGGCCATGCGCCTGCCTAGCGAATATTTGCTGCCGTCTTGCTGCCAAAAAGACAGCTGGGGCTGGGCTTAAGCCAGCTGACCGGGTGCAGTTGCTGTTGTACTGTCGTGCATCTTCACAGGGCTGTTGTCTTGTGCGTGCTGACATCTTATGATTGGAGGGCTCAGCCTATGTCGTGATGGTGATGGTGGCCCACACAAAAAGCCAGTGGACGGAAACGTGACGCTTTCCGCTTCCGAACTAAGCCATGCTCTTGAATCCCAAAATACTCTCCCTCTGCGCAGCCCGCTTGTTTGTCAAGTTTTCTATTCCGAGATTAGAGCCCCGGAGCCAAAACTTTTGATTTCGGACACGGTTCAGCTGGAATCGGACCCGGGCATGGTCTCAAATAATACCAGGTGGATGAGCTGTGAAGTCATGTCTGACGCTTTGGAGGTTTATTTTTAGGGAAACTGTTGATTTATGTTACTAAAGTTTGCACGAGGCACAGACTGTTTGGTCGAAAGGTCCCGAAAACGCCAGCTATTGGGCTTGGCCGGCTGTGACTGGCAGACTGGCAGTATAGCACTGCTCACCGGAATGGGAAGGGTGGAACGTGGAAGTTCGAATGATTATTTTTACATTTTTATCGGCAGAGTCAGCACGTATTCAAACATTTTCCGCCTTTTACGACGGGGTGCAGGTAGTGTAGTGGTTAACGCGTCTGCGTTCCACGTGGTGCCCGCCATTCCTGCCGGGGTGAGGGGCAGGCGACGCCATACTGCCTCAACAGCTGAGTGCGTTGCAAAGCCCCAATGACGCACACTCTGTCTTTAACGAACCTTGGGCTTGTAATGTCAAT